ACACCTTTAATAATAAGAGGTTATCACATGACAGTTTTCCTTTCGCCAGTCATATCAGCTGAGTCTACCATATCAGCCCCAGGGGCCTTTATCATATACCACATCAAGGGACGTAACTCTAAAATAGACTGGGTTCCGTCTATTGAAGTTTCGAGCGCTTGCATGTATTCATTCCGTACCAGTTTAGTAGCTGGGCAATACACCTGGTATGGATTTGCGGCCCAAGGGATGCATTTTCGGCCTGGACGGACAATGCTGACCGTCAGTATTGCACTTGCAAAATGGTCCCTATTATTCATAGGTATATGGTAATACTGTATATCACCTTTCCTTGTTTGTTACATTTCTAGCCAACATCAAACATGGGTGAACACTTGCTTTTGACAGTAAGTTTATTAACATCTTCACATCAGACAAGTGCGAAGAATTAAGCCATTCACTTGACAGCAATTGTGAATACATATCCTGTATAGACCCATGAATATCCAGGTTAGAATTGGTCTTCAGCAAACCATGCTTGCCGTAAGAGGCAACTAACAGGATCGGGTGGTCAAGCTCGCTGACTTGGTTGACTCAAGTCATTGTATCCCAATTGCGTAGATCTAAGTTCATGCTGTTGATGACTAGATCATCTGCTTCCATATAGCTGTAATATTGCTGAGTCCAGCGCTAAACACCAACCAACCATACGCTGTGTAAGAAGTACAACAATGTTGCTGTGGTTATATTGCTGTAAGTTAACATGTAGACATACACTGTGATAACTGGCCTGATGATGCATGCCACTGATGTCGATGACTAACAACATGCCACATGTTCGATTAGACCATTAGCCTCACAGAAAATATTATTTAGAATCCACAACATTCCACCATCATATCAAAGCAAAATGTCATTTTTGATTGGCAGCAGCCAATATTAGTTTTTTGCCTGCTGAGAAAATAGATAGATCCACACAATTAACAGCAGAGGCTGTGATAATGGGTTGACAACGATACAGTACTTCCCTTATATTAGAAACAGATCTGCACCTACATTCTCTGTCTGTGATGTTACCACCATACATACAAGGCCCATATGTTACCATCTTCCTTGTATAGAAGGCCCATATGTTACCCTTTTCCTTGTATATAAGGCACATATGATACAATCTTCATCGCATTCAAGTCTCATATGACATACCATCTTCCTTGCATACAAGGCCCAAAAGTTATCATCTTCCTTACATACAAGCCCCATATGTTACCATCTTCTTTACATACAAGGCCCATATGTTACCATCTTCTTTATATACAAGGCCCATATGATAGAAACTTTCTTACATACAAGCCCCATATGTTACCATCTTCCTTACATACAAGCCCAATATGTTACCATCTTCTCTACATACAAGCCCCGTATGTTACCATCTTCCCTACATACAAGCCCCATATGTTACCATCTTCCTTACATACAAGGCCCAAATGTTATCATCTTTACATAAAGGCAGACAGGTTACCAACAGGCCATGTATCAGGTACATGCAATATTCTTCACAACTTAAATTTGTGTGGTTGAGATAAGTGTGGTAACCAATTTCAGGAAACAAAACAACAGTAGTTTCTGGGTGAATACTCTCGTATATAAGAGTTTCCAGCTCATAAAGCGTTGGAAGACAATACACAGACTGTTCTGGTGTGGGTGTTAATAAGCACCCAGCAGACTTGCAGGGAGGAATGCCCACAATCTTAAAACACAGAAGACAGACTAGCCATAAACCATAATCAGCTGTCTAACATGAACAAGCCAACAAGGAGATGGTGTTCTTGTTCTAATTCTGCATCGTTCCTCTTGCTGCTTCCAAGACTACTGTTTCTTCCTCTCAAAGACATGGGCATACCATGCCACCTTGTATTCAGGCTGATTGCTAAATGGGGAGACTGTAAGTAGACTTTTGTTCCACTTTTAAAGTCAAAATCAAAATCACTCCAGAAACGTATGAGCTTCCCATGAGGAATCAAAGTCTGGTGTTTGTTACCATCAATAAATGGTACCCTTTAATGAAAATATAACTTGCCCACAAACCCTAACTAGTTTTGCAGTTATCCTGTAGAGCAGCAGAATATCAGGAATCTTAGGGGGTTATGCTACTTCGGTAGGTGTATACTCTAGGCTGATTTCTACAACCACCATCTATCCAATGACCCACTTATTGAACTGAACCACTATGGACAAACTTTGTATTGCTCTGAGTTGGCCCCCATCACAGTGTAGTGAGTGTACATTTATTGATGTAATCCTGCAGCCAACTGTGAAAACAAACCAAGTCCTTCTCCATGACCACTGGACTATAGAGCTTTTCAATGACCACTGGCCTATAGTCCTTCTCAATGACCACTGGCCTATTGCCAGATCAGTAATATGCTGTAAAACAGCCTTGAAATACCTGGCTACCAAGAGACATGACTTCTTAAAACACATCCATCAGACACCTTTTACCTGTGTTGTAGTTAGAGATAAAAGGGCTCTATTGGACATTCTCGTGATTCAGCACATGCCAAAGCGACGGTCCAGCCAGTCTGTGCCAGATGGAGATGGTAGCAGCAACACTGAGATGGTGTCGGCACCATGGAATGTTGCAGAAAGCCAGCAGTGGAAGAACACAATGTAGAAAATACTTGTGTTCTGGTTTTGTGTGTTTATGCATGGGCTGCTCCTGACAGTTGCTAATGAAGATTGTTGTAGGTATGTCGACATCTGTGTATATGACACTTATATACACATTTCAGTCTCAAGTCAGACAGTGTATCTGGCACCAGACTTACAGGAGCCAACTTTGTATCACAAAGAAAACCGTCAGTGCCAATGTCCTGTAAAACCTTGGACAGGTAATATGAGTATCACAAAGAAGACAAACCTATTGGTGCCTGCCTATGTCTTCTCTAGTCTTTGACAGTCAATAAGAGTTTCATACAAAAGATACACAAAATACCAAACCATCAGCGCGCCAAAGTCTTGTACAAGCTTGGACAGTCTATAAGATTGTCAAACAAGACAAAAACATCAGGGCCTATGTCTTCTTCAGCCATTGACAGTCACTACTATCATATCTCACAGAAGGCAGTAGGGGTGTTAACTGATCCGAATATAAAAGTTTGGTGCCAAATTGATGAAAATACTCCATACAGCCACCCAGAACCATGCTCTGGATTTAGTGGTTAATGCTTGTGTAGGTTGTGTTGGTTTTCCAAGGCTGTTCTTGCAGGTGACTCATGAAATAACAAAACACCTTAGGTCAGTTCAACCTTCAGAGAAATTGCAATATTCTGGACCAGCATCAACTACTGGTTGTAAAACTGACAACTTCATCATCGTTTTTCCTTCTGTTCCTGACAAATATGTTAACATGACAGTGAAGGCATGCTGTAATTTTAGTCTCCAGGATTGCCATGCTGGTTATGATAAACATGCTGGAGGTTGATGTTCCAGGGCTGATCCTGGTTTAGGGTGCGTAGTTTTTGTGACTGAAAGACAGGGATTAAAGCATGTGTACCATAGAACACATTCGCAGAATACATGGTATCACTGACACAGCTGTGAGAGCAAGCTACTGTACATGATGACGGGACACTTCAGTTGTAGCTGTAGGGGGTAGATTAGTCCAGGATGGGGACTCAGGGAGGGGAAGAATGGTAGACTAAGGGTAGGGCAAGAAATGTCAGAGGGTTCTGGGGAGGGTGATGGTTAATGGAGGGTGGTGGGGGTTAGTTTGGATTGATGGTAGGGACAGGGCTCCAGATAGCTTTTGGGTGTGTGGGTGTACTTACACCTCATATTGCAAGTGGAGCCGACTGAGAATTTTGAAGGAGTACTGACATGTTTTGTGTGAGCGAATTGGTGATGTGGTTTGTTATTATAATATTAAACAACTTTTCAGCTATAAAACTTTATATATGTTAGACGTACAAAGGTATTTATTTGCCTACATGATACGCATGAAATCTCATATCATATTGTACTTCATTGATTTTTAGGCGTACATTACGCCCCTTATCTGTAGCCCTGTAGGGAGTGATGAAGGATTGAGGAGGCAGTGTGGGAACTGATGATGTTCGGGAAGTGATGGGATGTGTAGCTAAGTGTTTGGTGGGTGACAAGGGCTGAGGTTTTCAAGTGGCGCATTCAAGGCTGGGGAAAGATGAGGCAATGGAATTGTTGTGATGATGGGGTAAGCGAAGGGGACGGGGATCATGGGTAGCAGCGTCAGCATTCAAGGAAAGGATGGAATGGTAGGAGTTAAAGAATGGGTGGGGTTGAGGGACACATCTGTGGTTGATGAGGATGGGGTCATTGGTAGCAGGGGATACAAGGTTAGGATGGAATGGTAGGATTTAGAGTGGGTGTGGTTGAGGTACACATCTGTAGTTGATGTGGATCATGTAAGACTGCAGATGATGTGTTTTAGTTAGATATGTGGAACATGATGACAATGGTGGCATCACAGGCGTATCTGAATGTAACACATCTCAGTCTAATGCTCCCCATTACCCACTGTCACAGTCCCCACCGAACAACACTTACATTCATCAGCCTAGGCTGGCACTCTGGTACCATTACAGGCTGTCACTTCACACGATATCATCTCAACAAGTATCTGGTTCCTCCGAGTGAGTGAGTGAATGAGTATCCATGACATACTACTTTGGCCATGTCCCCATCACAACACAGCCTAGTTGTTGAATGAGTGAGTGAGTAGCGACACATTTACCTTCACGGACTTCACAGGTGTATTTGTCAACATGCAAACCATACATGGAATCAAACCCAGTCTTGTACTGACAAGGGACTACCAGTCGGCTGCTTCAGACCAGAATCCTATATGCAGTAAATCAATATAAACATACCTGTGTATGTATTTGTAGAGACTGAATCGCCTGGTCATGAGACAACCACAATCTGCATCAGTGAGAAACAGGTCACTGATCCCTAGCAACTGTTGAGTAGTATGTATAATGACTTACTGTACATGCAGCCTTCGTTAGCGAGCTGTTGCCATCCGTGACAACACCGGAACTTGGTGCGGTGCTGGGGCTGGAGCCGCTCCTTGTATGTGGTGTAGTAGTGAGTCCTGCAACAACAATCATATATTTCATTAACAACCATATACTTCATTAACAACCATATACTTCAATATACTTCATTAACCATATACTTCAATATGCTTCATTAACAACCATATACTTCAATATGCTTCATTAACAACCATATACTTCAATAACAGCCATATACTTCACTATACTTCATTAACAACCATATACTTCACTATACTTCATTAACAACCATATACTTCATATATACTTCACTATACTTCATTAACAACCATATACTTCAATATACTTCATTAACAACCATATACTTCAATATGCTTCATTAACAACCATATACTTCAATAACAGCCATATACTTCACTATACTTCATTAACAACCATATACTTCACTATACTTCATTAACAACCATATACTTCACTATACTTCATTAACAACCATATACTTCAATATACTTCATTAACAACCATATACTTCAATATACTTCATTAACAACCATATACTTCAATATACTTCATTAACAACCATATACTTGAATATGCTTCAACATCAACCATATACTTCAATATCCTTTACTAACAACCATATACTTCAAGAACTATATACTTTATTTACAACCATATACTTAAAATATGCTTCAACATCAACCATATACTTCAATGTACTACATTAACAACTACATACTTCAATATGTTTCTTTTAACCATATTCATCAGTAGGCTTTATTAACAACCATATTCTTCAATACGTTTCATGATCAACCATAAACTTCAATATACTTCAACAACCATATGATTCAATATGTCCCATTCACATCCATATACTTAACTACAATTACATACTTAATTAACAAGTCTTAAGTATATGCTTCAATAAATGAAACTTTCAATCCTTATGTTTATGGCAAAAATAACCAACAGTTGCAATTGTTTCAGTTGCATGTCTTTGGGCTATGGTTTTGCTTGTCAAACACATCTCCCCTTAAGACTGAACTTTGATGCTTGGCGTTGAGTTACACCATTCTGACAAATGCCAAATAGCTTTCAATTGTGTTGTAGTAGGGTCACAGAATTGCTCCCAAACCTTCACCTACTTCATATCTTCCACCCAGTATATGACACATACACATATATACCCCATCTGAAACTGGAACTGGAAACCAATGAGGGCAAAAACTTGTCAAACACTGACACAACTATGTGGCCCAGTGACAGAGAAGATGCGGTTGAAGCTCGTGACACATGCAACACTGATGTGCACATGGTTTACCCTGTGGGGAACTGAGACATCACAATCCTCTACAGTCCTACATCCTATACACAGCTGCATATGTTTTCGTTTCCAAGAAGAATGTGCGTTCTTGAAACTAGGTGTATATGCTATTGACTGTGTCAACATGTGCATTATGTCTTCAAATGTTGGAACTTATAGATGGAATATTATGTTCAGAATTTCTACCAACATGTGTTTTGTCCTGCAGCATCATGCAGAGCTCAGTTTACATACAGTCTGCAGGATCAACACAAGGCTTGTCTTGTTCATTGTCTGCAGGATCAACACAAGGCTTGTCTTGTTCATTGTCTGCAGGATCAACACAAGGCTTGTCTTGTTCATTGTCTGCAGGATCAACACAAGGCTTGTCTTGTTCATTGTCTGCAGGATCTACACAAGGCTAGTCTTGTTCATTGTCTGCAGGATCAACACAAGGCTAGTCTTGTTCATTGTCCGCAGGATCAACACAAGGCTTGTCTTGTTCATGATCTGAAGGATCAACACCATGGTGGTGGTATTCATAGTCTGCGGGATCAACAAAAGGCTAGTCTTGTTCATGATCTGAAGGATCCACACACTGGTAGTGGTGTTCATAGTCTGCGGGATCAACACAAGGCTAGTCTTGTTCATGATCTGAAGGATCCACACCATGGTGGTGGTGTTCATAGTCTGTTGGATCTACACAAGGCTTGTCTTGTTCATTGTCTGCAGGATCTACACAAGGCTAGTCTTGTTCATTGTCTGCAGGATCAACACAAGGCTAGTCTTGTTCATGATCTGAAGGATCCACACCATGGTGGTGGTGTTCATAGTCTGTTGGATCTACACAAGGCTTGTCTTGTTCATGATCTGAAGGATCCACACCATGGTGGTGGTGTTCATAGTCTGTTGGATCTACACAAGGCTTGTCTTGTTCAACACAAGGCTTGTCTTGTTCATGATCTGAAGGATCCACACCATGGTGGTGTTCATAGTCTGTTGGATCACAAGGCTGTTCATAGTCTGTTGGATCTACAAAAGGCTTGTCTTGTTCATGATCTGAAGGATCCACACCATGGTGGTGGTATTCATAGTCTGCGAGATTAACAAAAGGCTTGTCTTGTTCATGATCTGAAGGATCCACACACTGGTGGTGGTGTTCATAGTCTGCGGGATCAACAAAAGGCTAGTCTGGTTCATAATCTGAAGGATCCACACCATGGTAGTGGTGTTCATAGTCTGCAAGATCAACACAAGGCTTGTCTTGTTCATGATCTGAAGGATCCACACGATGGTGGTGGTGTTCATAGTCTGTTGGATCCACACACAGAGCCAGTGTTGTTCATAGGCTGCAGGACCATCCATTTGATTATTGCAAGGAAGACTGAATATTCACAATCATATAGTTGGCCAATTTAGTAGTGTATTGTCACTAGCGTAATGACCATATGTAGCCAATATATCTCCACTTGATGCATATGTTTATGCATTTGTTATTGTATGAGAGTTGATTATAGGAGAAGGCACTGGCTGGCTGGTTGTGCTTAGGTAGCCCAATTCGCTCATCATGCCAAGAGCCGAGGTTCAATTAGGTACAAGGTGTGGGGCCCCAGACAGCATTCGGACATTGGCCCAACCTTGGCAATGTTAGCAAAACCATTGCCAAAGTTGAGCCAAAGTCTGTATGCTATCTGGGGCCCATCTCTTGAGCCCCAGTTGTGATATTGCTGGTATATACTGCGTGAGGTGTTGTAAATCCCTCCTCACTCACTCCAGACTATCTCAATGCCTCCTGGTAAATCCATAGGTTTCTTTACCAAGTACAGAGACAAGTCCATTCTCCCACATGTAGTTACTTCCAGGCTGAACTTAACATACAGAAAAGTCCTGGATAGTTTCATTTAAGAATGCTGTGCAAAGCTGCTTGTCAAATTATTTGTGTTTCAAACGCCTGTACTTCCTGCCATGCAGTGTGACAAGCCAACACTTCATCCACAAGGCTAACCCACCCCACTTCAGGTTGTTAAAGACAGGCATAGGCGGATCTAGAGGGGGTGTGTGCAGGGGTGCGCCCCCCCCCTCCCTTTTGTGCTGAAAGTTTGTTAAATGACTATTGAAACTCGGGTGAAAATGAAGTGTGCAGCCCTCCTTTTCTCAATAGTGTGCACACCCCACCCCCCACCCCCCTTTCTCAAAAAGCTGTATCCGCCCGACAGGGTAGCTCCTTCAAGATATTTTTGCTTTGAGTACAGATATAAATGCATGTACACAAATAGAAAATATTTGTATTCAGTTCGTAGCATATGTGTGGGTCAATAAAAATACGTTAGCTGCATATTATTCCTGAGATATATACATATTTTGTTCACATCATTCAAATTTGAAAATATGCCAGATCTGCCTGGGTTTGGTGATGCGGTTATTTGTTGGTAGGAGATAGACGCATTCCCCCTTGACTGTGTGTACGCAAGTCATGAACACAGCGTTACATTCTTCTCTAACACAGAACAGACGACATGTACAACGCTGGATCACAAATAGAGCAGATCTCCATACGTACACGGCGATTACCGTAGATGATGTTGTATGGTGCCGTCGACACACACTTTGTTGTCACTTTCCGAGTTCCCGACCCAGTACGTCCCCGTGATGTCGTACACACAACAACGGGGTCCATATCACACATGTCGGCGTCAGGTCGCCCCTGGTACTGAACCCTTTTTCGCACCTCAGCCAGATCTACGTGGCGATTGCACATACCTAACATTTAACCTGTCCAGAATTCCATGTTATTGTCTGCTAATGCAGGCGAGGCAGACTTGACGCCAAGTGTGTTGACTGGGCAACTGTCTAACTGTCAAACCGATAATATCTCCCTCAGGCTGGAGCTGAGAGGGATCGCTACACGGATCGTGATGTGTCAAGCTTGTTCAAAATATATATTGCGTGTTCAGTCAGCAGTACGTCAATATCATCTAAACACTAAAGCGTGAATGAAAGATTTTGGCTTAATGCCGCTTTGAACGGTATTGCTTCCACAGTTCTATCGCGACGTGTCAGTCAGGTCGATGTTGAAGGACAGACTAAATTAAGGGTTGAGAGTCTATGAAGTTTACCAGTTTACCCACTTGCAGGGTTTGAGTGTTACAAAACTAGCAAACGTAATCAGGCAGGATATTGGATTCAAACCCATGATGAAGGGTTTCTGACTGATCAACAGATGGAGAGAGACGCTACGGACGGACCACGGAACTAACCCGCCAAGCACCTTGCCATGTACTTTAGGAGGTGGTTGGGTGAGTTTTGTTGGACATCTTTTGTGGCAATATTCCAGCAGTATCACGTAGGGTCACCAGAAAATGGGCTTCGCACATTTGCACGAAGAAGTGTACGTGATTTCAAGTTTTAGTAGGACAAAAAGCAGCTAAGTGAGTGAATGAGTGAGTTAATAAACCCATTAAAGTTGAAAAGGAGCCCCAGTGAGTTGAGAGATTCAGAACCTGGGGAAATCTAGACTTGCTTTATTTAGCGCTTTAGCATTGTGGGGGAGGATCAGGCAGTGGGGAAAATAACGTGGTTCGGGGACTGTAAAACATCATTATTATCTCGGCAATTTATGTTTAAAGAAAGCCCTAAAGACGAAGGCGCAGACATTTACACTTTAGGTGAAACCCACAAGCAGGATTAATGGCGCTGGCAGTCCAGTGATCACAGGGTGTTTCTGGCTGTCGAACCCACGAGGTCTTCAGCTCGGTCAGTAGTACAGCGTCA